TATATATATATATAATTTTTTTTCTCAAAATAATAATAATTTAATAATTAAATAATTTAGGCAATCAAAAGTATTTATATGTCCAAGATATAATTACAATAAGTTTGGAATAAAAAACTAATTTTTCTCTTAAAACTGAGCATTATGTTGGTGTTATTTGTCACATGGTTTATTAAATTATTTTAAAAAATAAGGGTATTTGTGTGGTCCTTTTGTATTGATTTAAAATTATTATTATTATTATTATTATATTTTTATTTAATATATTATATAATATTAAAATATACATTTAATTTTTACCGATTTGACTTTCATTTAATCATATAGTTAAATCATTAAACTGTGAATCAATCTTCAATTTTTTGGTTTTTGATAAAAATATCATTTTCAGTTTTGTTTCAATTTTAAAAGCATTGCATTTTAATTAACTATGATTGCATGTAGCAACTTGCTTACACACTTAATTAAATAAGTCAAGATTATGTCTAGTCCTAAGTGTCATACTGATCCGCTAGTTGAAATTTATTTATTTTTAATAAATTGTGTGGTTTCACTATAGTTTATTATTTAATAATATTTTATATCTTATATTATATTATATATATATATAAATTTTACCTATACTTTTTTTAAAGGAATTTTTAGCTATACTTAAAAGTATTCTTATAATGTAGTATAAATTTGCTAGCTGCTAATTATTTTTATTCTATTTGACAATGTCAAATTCAAGGCATATATTTATATTTCCAAATTAACTCTCATTCTTTTATTTATAATTAGAAATTTTAAAATTATTAAAATTGGTCTAGTGATAAAGGAGATTGTGGTAAATGCCCGAAGACTTAGATGGAATTGAATTCTACATCATTGTACTCCCTCTGTTTTTTTTATAGTCGTTTTGTCAGAATTTATTGTTTTTTTTATTGTCATTTTATTAAAATGAATGAATTATTAATTATTTTTTTTCATTTTTACCCTTGATAATTAATACATGTTTACTAAACAATGTGTGTATTTATTTTTAATGTCTACCTATTTTTTGTCTAACTACCCATATAAAGTTAATGTGCATTTATAAGAGCAAAATGTTCCCAATAAAATACTATAAAAACAAAAAAAGGGACAAATATAATTAAATACACTAGGTTATAATTCACGTGTAATCAATACATTAATAATTAAAGGAATAGATAACAGTTCAACAATCTCAAAAATGCAAAAAAAAATAAAAGTTAAAATAGGAAAGTAAATAATAAATATTTTTGAAAATTAAAATATCAATAATTTTCTTAAATCCCGTGTAAAACCTTAAACGATTATGAAAAAAAAACGGAGGAAGTATGATTTTCTGCTGATAAAAAATCTGACCCGTGAACACTTATATCCGAATCTCTAGAAATCAGAGTTTCTCCCACAAGTGGCTACATTGTTTTCTATATATGCATGGAAAACCATGGCCCATCACGTGGACAAAAAAACTTGTAGAATTATGCATAATAATTGCAGACATACAACAGAATCTCTTGAATGAAGAGACTTGGAGAGGTTATATCTTTTTTTTATCAGAAATGATGCATCTTCCGAAAGATTTTGGCCCAAAAATCCTCTCAATGTTTAAAATTTTAAAATAATAAAATTAAAAAAATAATTTATTTCAAATATTATATAGATATAAATCACTGAATGGTTCAGAGTGTCGGAATCCAAAACATTACTCTTTTTTTTATTAACACTGGGATTGGGTTGGGTTAGGTAATGCTATCTTCTTGACCACCAAGTACCAACCCACTTCTATATTATTTTTAGCCTCTTTCCTAATTACTGCTTAAACTTCGTCTTATAAATATTATTTTTATATTCTCTACATGATAAATATTCTGTCCAATGCTTTTCACTTTTTTAATCAATTCCTCGAAATTCTTAAAGCAAAGTTGTTCACGGATTATTTATTCTCAGATTTGTTCATTCTAAACACTTTACACTGCTTTTGATTGTATGCTAGGGTGGCTCTAGGCCGAAAAGAAAAAAATTAAATGAGATAAAAGTTTTAGAAAATTAGGATATTATTATATTTAATTTTAATATTATTTTCTATTTTTTAAAATAGGATGACACGTGTAAGATTATCTTATTAGTTATTAGGGTATAAATTTGTATTTCTTTAATCTTTGTGACATAAATGATCGGAAATTTTCAATGTTAATTTTACCTTTTTTGTACCTCTTTAATAGTAGAATATTAGAAGTAATAATAGGGTAAATATTTTCTTTCTATCATTGTATACGAACTTAAAGTAATTTCACATAAAAAAAAATCATATAACTTTTTCCTTAAGGATAGTCTTTCGTTTATTACGAGGTAAATTAGTCAAACCTTCAAACAATATCTGATTGAATGTTTAACGCAATTGAGATGTCTTATTAATTAATTAATTTATTTTTTTTGTATTTTCATTTTGTGGGAAGTTACTATAGAGCAAAATCTTACAAGTAAGCCTATCATAGTTAACGACGAATGTGGAACTCTGACATCAAGTCCCAAGATACATACATTAGAGGTTGTCAAAAAGATAAATATTAACCAAGTGAAGGAGCTATATATTTTTAAAACACCACATTATCCCTTCTCATTTTTTTGTTTTATTTCTCTATGTGTTACATCATACCATTTACCATATTCATATTTTTCTCCATATCAACCTAGTAATAAAATTGAGATAATACATCAAGACTTGAGTTTGATCTAGTTGCTATCATGATAATCTTTACTACTTTCTCTCATTTCTCACTCTCTTTAGGTGTCTAGCTAGTAACATTAATTTGGCGTGTCAAGATATATTTTTCCTATGCATAAACCCTCTAGTAGTAAAAAAAAAAAATAGTACATTTAAGTTATATTGCAATCAAGAAAAGTAGCATACAATGAAGAAATTAAGCAACCAATAAAAAGAAGAAGAAGAATTTACCTAAGGAAGAGACGGTCTAGGAAGGTTGTGGTTTTTGCAGGAGTCCATTTGGTGGTAATGGTGGTGATCCAAGTGACTGTGAACCATGATTCGCATAGGAATGCAAGAAAGCATGGGAAAGAATAGTGGTGATGGTAGGAGACTCGGTAAGTGAGAAGGGTGAGAAGGAGGAGCAAGATGAGGGAATCCACTATTCTTGAAAAGGTGTGTTTAATCCAAATCTTTTGGTAGAGAGGGATGTTGTTTTGATTAGCCATTGAAGAAATTAATCAAGAATAACTAGAATGAAAAATGGGTAATAACACAATTCACTTTGTGGTCAGAGAATGGTCATTTTAAAGGAAAAAGATAATCAATCATAGCTCTTTCATGGCATGTCAGAATGATTCCGACTACAACTTTCAGGAAACTTTGTCTTTTAATCATCACTTAGTTTAGAAGGTGAGAGCAAAACCCAGAGGGAGAATAGCAAATTATAATATATGGCCATTTTTATTTATTTTATTCCTTAAAAGTGCTTTTTAATAAAATAAACATTTTTTTCCTTTATGTGTAAGTTTTCTTTTAAAAAGTAATTTTTTGAAAAAAATCAATACTTATCTGTTTTTAAAAGAATTGTTTTTTTTAAGTTCTGTTTTATAATACTTTTAAAATTTTGAATAGATTTACCCAACATATATATATATATATATATATAATTAACACTAAAAGTTATTCAATGTTTTATATGTTTTTATTTTTAAAAAAAGTTTATTTTTATTCATTTGTGTTTACGAATTTCAAGACAATGTTAATTATTTTTTTAAAATTACATCCTTATTTCTTACTTAATATTTAATTAATTTATATATTTATAAATAATATGCATTAATTGTGGAATAAAAATGAAAAATGAGTGTAATAAGAAACATCAAAATTTTAAGAACATAGAAAAATGTACAACATTTATTACTTTGTATAGAATAATCTTAAATAATTAATAAAAAGGAATGAACGGTAGTAATTTTATGACTACTTAAAAATATCATATAATCATATGATTTAATCCTAGTTATGCATGTAAAGTTAGTTATACATGTTAGTATTTTTGTCTTTTTAATGAGAAAGATTTATAATGATGATAATAAAATTTAAATGATGTTATGTATATTATCTCAATTTCAACCATTAAGTTTAGTCTAATAATTTTAGTTTAAACGATGGACACGATACTTATTTTTTAAAATATATAATAAATATACATTTTAACATAAATTATGTTATAATCAAAATTTTCTAAATAAATATTTATGAATATATAAAATATATTTTTAGTTAACCATTAATATGAGTATAAATAAAAAATAATATTATTAAGGTTATAAATAGAAAAAGAAATAATTAATATTAATTTAAAAAAGTTAAAATGACATTTCTTTTAGAAGATAATTTTTTTTGACGCTTGTAGTTTATTGTATTATTTGTAGTTATGAGACAAAATCAAATTCAAGGTATATATGATATATTTATATTTCTGAATTAACTCTCATTCTTTCATTTATAATTAATTTTTTTTTAAAACCATCGAGATCAATTGAGTGGTGGGAGAGATTGAGATAAATATATGAAGATATGAAAATTGAGATTGTGATAAATGTAAGAAAATTTAGATTGAATTTTTTGTCATTGTATTTTTTTTTACTTATAAATATGGTTAAAGTATTCATTTGGTTCTTCATTTTATTCAATTATTTTAATTTGGTTCTTCTATTATTAAAAAGTTTAATTTTGAAAATAATTTAACATGATTTTTTATATTGAACTAAAACTACCCGTGTTAAATTTTTGTGCACGTGATTATCCATGTCTTTTTTATTATGTCAAGTGTACAAATGGTCAACACTATTAGTCTCAATTTCACAGAAAATACTACAATAAATCATTTTTTAAAGTTAAAAGATTAAATCAAATATTTTAATAATAAAAAAATTAAATCGATCAAATTAAATAAAATAAGATCAAACTATTAATTCAACTTAAAAAAAAAATCTTTTCTAAAGTGAATGATGTATTTAGAAGATTAGATGTAATAATAACGATTAATTAAAAAATCAACTATTATTACCATACTTTATTTTTTAAAAGTGAAATGTACTCATTTTAGAAGAGACAAATAAAAATAAACACACATTTTATATATATATATATATAGAGAAGGATTATAATAACATTAATATAATTTTTACTAAGTATTATATCGCTTAATAACTTTATATTAAATGTGAATTTTGTAAATCTAACTGTTAGATTAAAAATTCATATCACTTTATATGTTATATTAAATTTTGTTAAAATTAAACAATAACTTAAAAATAACTAAATTATTCATATTTTAATATATTTTGAAATATATATGTTACATCAATTTTATTTTATAAGAATGAAGTATCAAATCATCTTAGATTAATATAAAATTATATATATATTATCTAAGAATAAAAAACTTTCAATCTAACAGTTGTATTTATAAAATTCACATTTAATATAAAGTTGAATGATATAATATTTAATAAAAATTTTACTGATGTTATTATTATAATCATTCTCATATATATATATATATATATATATATATATATATATATATATATATAAAAGAGAGAGAG